ATCTTTTAAAGTATAGTACAGTATTAGTTATTTTATTATCATATTAAAAAAAGAAAATATCAAGAAAGAAAGACATACTTAAGCACATAAAATAAAATATTTAATATATCGATATACATGTGTAATGTATATATCCATGTACAAGAATTAGATCATAACTTTCTATATTTCACGTAGACTAAAAATAATTCGTAGCTTTGAATTGCTCCAAGTTGCTCACTAGTTACGTAATTATACTTAACGTGGCCAAATGTAGCAAGTCAGCATCCTATTGCGTAATTAAATGCATATCAAATATTGTTTGCTTTGTTTTCTTGATTATGTAATCGGAATAATTTATTTTGTGTCACATTATCATCTAATTTTGAAATGACAGAAGAATAATTTTACAAAAAGAAAAACATTCCATTAGTCGTAAAAATTCTTTTTAATTCGCATATTTCTATATATTTTGAAAATATGTTAAGTGTATGTAGTGGAAGAAAAAGAAGGAAAGGAAATGATAAAAAATGATAAACTAAAAACCTGTTTAACTTAGTTGCATTCTATGATTTCGTCTTTAATTTTTTTCAAATCTAAAGTATATCTATATCTATATCTTTAGAGTATAGTTAAAAAATGAATACATTCGTAACAACTCTACACCAACAATAATTACCCAATTTATTAAAAAAAAAATATTTTATCATAAAAAAGTTTATTATTAAAACACATTTATTTGTCAATATTGTAATGTGTATTTTATATTTCATAAAGTGTATCAGTTTTTCGTATCAATTTTTACTATATTCTCAATTTACAAAAGTAGATCTGTGAAATTTATATATAAAAACAAAAAAAAACGACTCAACGGTATAATGAAAAATATCTTGGAGAAAGAAAACGCCTGTCAATTGGATAATTAATCGTACTAATTCTGCATATAATTGGCCAACTGTTTCGTACACCAAGAATTTTCAATGTATTAAACGGCGGTTGGCTTGCTGATTGGTTGGTTGCATCGCGTTGGTTGGTTAGATCATCATCCACGAGCAATTTGGCAACATCGCTAAAGCTTAACCCTCTCCCCACCCTCACTCCGCCGTACCATGCCAGTACGACTGTTGTGCTTAGCAACCAGTGAGGTCAACAAACGAGGTCAAATTATACATTAACTTTGTCGCGAGAAAATATTATTATCGTATTGTTGATGAACTATTACCACGTATTCTTAGCGCTATTATCCTTTGAATAATCAAACAGTCATCCATATAATAAAAGAAACTAAAATATCTGAGAAAACTATTTATGTAGCTGGAGGAAGAAATAATTTCGTCATTTCTTTTAATAATTCAACATTTACAACACAAAGAATACATATAGAGCTTAAAATATAATAGAAATAGGAAACTATTATAATTATTGTAATTTAAGCTAATAATTATTGTAATTCAGTATGGAAATATAATTATTCGGTCTTCTTTATCTTTTATGAAAAAGAACAGTTATTTGAAGTTTTCGCATGACGTTCCGAAAATAGATATCAAGAGAAACTCTGCTATTAAAAAATGTTACTGTTGTCATGTTAAACATGATCTAAAGTTATACATAGTTTCTATGGTAATGGATATCATAGAATATCTGGATATATAACTGCGCAGCTGTAAAGCAAAAAAAGATGAAAAGAAGAGTGGAAAAAAAATATTCCATTATGAAAGAAGAGGGCATTAAAAGGTTCGAACCAAAGCGAGACGTGAATTTATTGGTAGAAACGTAGAAGCTCTAAGTAGATAGAATATCTCTGGGGTAGATGCGAGAGGAGAGAAGAGAAACCTGGGAGAGGCGAGGAAATGGATGCAGTGTCGGTAGTGGGGTAAATCCGTCCCTTTCCCCTCTCCGCTGCGTTCCCAAGCATTCGCTCTCTGTTGAGTCGGTCGGTTCTGCTGTTCCATCATCTGGGATGAGGACAAGCAAGCGCGCCAGCAACAGCAGCAACGACCAGCAACTGATTGACCAGCAACAGCGACACACAGGCGCAGTACGAACATGGAAAATTCCACTCCCTATTTTGCCTCCACCCTTCGCAGCAGGAGAGGCGAAATGAAAGATGGGAGAGGGGAAACGCTATTATTTTTATTGCGCTCTCTACAGGCATATTAACTCACGTTGTGGTTGAGTAATGTTAGCCTGTACTCGGTTATTGCATTCCCGTTGGCTATACAAGCCCGCATACATTTGCAGCTATTCTATTATTATACTGAAATGTAGCTTCACGTGATTGTTTGGTATAGAAATTGAAATACGATCATATTGCATATCTGAATATTGAATATGTGATTATTAAGTTGTAATAAATACTATTATATTTATATCTGATATTGCTGAAGCTTAGTATACATAAACAAATTTCTAGTATTATAAATATTCCCTTATGTTATAAACGCATATTGCTGAAGTAAGAGAAAAAAATAAAAGAATAACTAGAATAAAAGTTTAATAAATTTTAACAAATTTACTATTCGAATTTTAATAATTGAGAACTTTGAAATATTATATATTCTTTATGATTGAATTAACATTGACAACAGCAGTTATGTATGAATTCTACAATTATATAAGATACAACTAATCTACAAAAATGAATATAAATACATGCAGAGTGATAAAAGAAATGATTCAGATATCAAAAGTTTATGTAAAAAAATTGCATTGGATGAAAGAAGCGGTACGATAAACACGAACAAATTATAAAATATATTTTTAGCTTCGTTAACGAAACGCTATCAAAAATTCTCCTTTTCTGTCTCTATTTAGCATAAATAAAACTCATCAAGAAAAAATCGAGCATAAATAAAACTCATCAAGAAAAAATCGAGCTTAAAATATTGTGCGCAACTCGTGGTAAAATTGAATTTGAGGGGAAGTAACAGAGGGAAATGGTAGGTCAATGTACGTTACGAGTCATGTTCCATCTCTTTCTCTCTCTTCCTTCTCTCATTCCCGATCTCCTCCTCTTCCACCTCTTTTTCTTCTCCCACTTCTGCCTCTTTTCCGTACCCAAGTTATACTGCTACTATATCGTGATAATCTTGCCTGCTCCATAAAGGGGATTACCTTCTCTGTGCCAAACTAACACTCATTGCTCATACTAGTACGGAGTTTCTACTAGCCGTAGAACGGAAGTTATGTGGCGGAGTGGGGACAGGAACGATCGATAGTCAAGTATTTCTCGGAATGTAAATACTAGTAGCAACCGGGTGCATATTTGACCACCCAATTGCATGCTTGTAGCTTTACAGCGCAAGGTCGCAGCAATATCTGGTTGGCTGATATCGCTTTTATTTAAACATTGAGTATTGTGTCGATTTATTAATGAGCAACAGCAAAGTGCCGTAACGAGTTTTATTGTTATGATGATAAAAAACGAGTAAAACGAATAAATAATAAGCCTAATGACTTTCGTCTGCAACTAAACACAATTTGTAGGCAACGACTGAAGCGTTACATTCCTTGACAGATTTTTATTCTTCGTGAGTGAAGATACCATTAGAATGTGTCTACTTCGTAATACATATAAGACATCTTGATTAATGATAGCAATTTTCAAAGCACATAACTATAACTTCAAAAATATTTATTTAAATAATCTATGTACAACTGCATCGCTTTTCCTTCCTGCTCGGCGGGAGGAGAAGGGAGGGGTGTGGCATACAAATGAGCTCAGAATCAATCACAATCGTTCTATTCATCGCACACAAGATCTTTTCTTTAAGTCTACCAAATAAAATAAAGTCAATTTTCTATAAGGGTACGTTCTAAATATAGAATCCAGGCATTGTGCTATTCGAATATCTGGGACCGAGATTCGTTACGATCAATAGACGGCAGATTCGGCCGTTTTCGACATGTTCCGTTAAGTTCCCCTACTATATTCGTCCTCATCGACCTCTAACCATTACCAGCCACGCCTTGCTCGCTGTATAAATTCCATCAGCTAAACCGGTTATCCGGGATGCAATTATACTATTTCTGCATACTATAGATTTTCCTTAGAAAAGCATCTGGAAAAAATACGACTCGCTTATCTTTTCAATTTACATACTAAGCGATGCATTTTAAATATCATATTAAATAATATCATTTTTTATTTTGAATCAAGCATTTTCCAGAAAAAAATTTTAATAAAAAATTTTTAATAATTTAATTGTTAAAATATCATTAACATTAATATCTCAAAAACGTGACATAATTCACATATTATGTAATCTTAAAATTAAAATTTAAAATTTTATAAATATAAAAATTATAATTTATTTAAAATTTCAAAATTTATGAGAAAATATTTGTTCGAGAAAAAAAATCGACGTATCCCTTATGAATCAACCTCCCATATATGTATAAATATTAAATGTCGTGTTTTATTGCATTACATAAATGCAATATCATATAATGATACTTAATCATATTTTTTATCACGTAAGTTTCTCAGAAGTTTAAATTAATTAGCATTATGAAATAAAAAACTAGGAAAAATTAAATTATCAATTAATCATGCTCATATTAGATAATTTTTTAAAAGATGGAATAAAATAGTGTGACTTAAGATATTCATACAATAACATATATATATACATTATATTGATTGCAATTAATAAACTATTTTTGTAAAAAATTGAGACATAAATTGATTATCATTATTGATATAAAATAACGGTTGATAAAGAGCAAAATAATGTATTTAATAATTGGTTAAATACAATAGATGCCTATTCCAATAGAGTTGATTATAATAATTTTATTCATACAATAATTTAAATCACTGTATTGAAAGGATTTTTGTATGATAAATATATCATTTGTACAAGATTCGACCAATCGCGAGGGATTTAATTATGGCTGAAAGTAAAGTATGACGTATCCACCATGACATTCTGAGACCAGCTTTGAGTCGTTGAGATTGTTGGTTGGTATCTCCTTCTTCTTACGGATCAATGTCACGATGGCTGTCAAACAGCATGTTCTCAGGGAAAAAGCAAATGCCGTTTCCCTTCAATTTCCACAGAACCAGAAGAACCGCCGTCGCGAAATTATGGATATTAAACGTCAGCGGTGCTTTTAAATACAATGGATGACAGGCGGCAATTGGACAGTTGGCGTTGACGATTTCGCTGGGGAATTGCATGGAATGAGGGATTCGGTTGAAAGCCACGGTATTTGGAGCGTGAGTGCGAGCGAGAAGGAAGGACGAGGGAGGTGAGGGGAAGAGGAGAAAACTTGGTAGAAGAGGGCGGCGAAGATAGGGGGAGGGGAAGAATGGTAGAGGAAAAGCGACTACGCGCGGCAGAAGGGGGCGAGTGGCACAGAATAGTTTAACAGGTTGTGGTTACGAGCGACTCCAGTCGCTCATTGGTTCCCCACCCGTACTTGAGTACACGTTAGGTTGACTTAATTTCAATTTATACTCCTTCCACCACCGCTCTTTCTCCCCTCATCACTCTTCTCTTTCTTAGCCTCATCTTCTTCCTCCACACTTGTTATTTTCCGTCCGTCCGCCCGCCCGCTTGCCTGCCTGCCTGCCTGCCTGCCTGCCTTCCTGTCTGACTGACTGCATCACACGTTGTGATAATACTTTTTATATTTGCTGGGTTCCATGTGAAGGATTCAACATCCATGCATGTGTAAGTATATAACACGTACATAAGCATAACGAGAGTGAATCCTCCAAACGCTAAGAGACGCGGCAAGAGCAGACAGCAAAGAGGAGGAGAAAGAGAGGGCGGGAGAAGGAGAGAGGGGAGATGGAGAAGCGTGGAGCGCAATGATGATAGCAAGAGAGCAAGAGAAAGGGAACGGGGAGGAAGGAGGGAGGGCGACGGGTTGGAGTAGAGAGTGGGAGACAGAGGGAGGGAAAGTAAAATAATCCCGCCGCCTGGAACGGCAAACGGCGCACGCTGCTTCACGAGCGCGCGCGCGCGCGCGCGTCTTTACAAAACGACACATCTGAAAATCCTGAACTCGTATTCAACAATTCATATCGAGTTAATTATCCTGCTGCTCGTGCGCGATCGACATCACTTGCGTCTTTTGCTACCCCCCATATCGGTACCTCGATACTAATAATAAACTCAGACTGACTGGACGCGAGTAGGGCGATGGATCATAGCCGCGGCCGCCGCCGGGGACTGCACGTCACGTCACTGAAATTCCGCTTTGAAACGAATGAGTGTACTAGTAGTAGTAGTAGTAGTAATAGTAGTAGTAGTAATAGTAGTAGTAGTAGTAGTACCGCCGTAACCGATCACGGCCGGAAGAGTGTGGATCATGCTATGACATTGTCGATCATGTTTAAACATGATGTGTAAAAGAAAGCTCCCGCGAAGAAAGCGCAGGAGTATAATTGTATTCGCACGATGGCACCTACGACAGGAAGATGGACCACTTTTTTATGTTTACCCGCCGCCGCCGCCGCCGCCGCCGTCATCATCATCATCATCGTTGTCATAGCCACCACAACTTAATGTCGCGCGGCGCCCACGACGACGAGATGAGAAGCCAATTTTCTCTCAGCGTGTTGTCTCACCGATGCCGCCTAATGCGCCAAGATCCGAGAAAGCGCGCGTGTTTAATTGACTTTACCTACCGCTGAACAATTTACCGGTTCGAGAGGTTTTAAAGGAGACATCGGGTCGCCGGTGTGTAGTCCCGCATGTAGTGTCGCGCACCTCTCAAATCTTGTTGTGCTCGCGAGAGTACGTATGAGTCTACCTGCGCTCATTCGCGCGACCACCCGCCCGAGCGAGGAATACCGAGTTCTCGCTCCGCTCGCGAGTATCTCGTCGGGAATCTCGGGTTGTTTCGGTGAAAATCGCAATCGGCGGAGGTAATACGCGCGTACTAGTACTGGCCAATGACTCTCGCTGATAGTACGCGATGTTCGCGTTGCCGCTTATAATGTCCGACGGGATCTTTCATCTCAGGATAAACTGATGTTGATAACAATGTCTGTAAGTATAACGCCTGGCCGCGATATACGTGTTTAATTGCGCGCGAAAAAATGGAAACTTGTGACGAATCTCGCGGGGAAAAAAAAAAAAAGAAGAAGAAACACGAGATCGTTTTCATTTTTATTTCATTAATCAAAATTTGCGCAGATTGGATAACGCGATATAACGCGATCGGATATTGACGTGTAAAAATTTTTCGTTCGATCGACAAAAACTTCCGAGTATCGTTTATTCGTTCACCGATTGAAAAATAATTCGTTGTATCACGATTTTCAGGAATTTAAATTTTCTCCAAAAAATAAGATCTATAAGGACGGCGCTGTGGAGCTGTTGCAAAATTTCGGTACGTGTGTTTGTATAACAATAATCAGTTGTAACATAGACTAATACTAATTCTATAAAGTATAATTCTGTAAAGACAGACCAATAAGTAAAGAAAGCATATTTTTATGTTATAGATCTTGATTTCTAAAAGATTTTATAAAAAATAATTTTTTACATTTTTTTACAAGTATTTAACATACAATATTTATTTTTTTATGTCACTATTATATTACTATTATTTCAAAAATATTCAATTATTAACTATCTAATTTATTATTATTTAATTTAAATTGAAAATGTTATCAAGATTTATTGGATAACATTTGTGTCAGACATGGAGGAATATTATTTATAGTGAATCAATCAACATTGTTGTATTACTCAGTATTACTGTTGTTCTATTTGTAAAATTTGTTCTCTATTGAACCGGAATTCTATACATTATATTCCTATTATATTTTGACTTTACTTTTTTCGCTTCTTACCTGAAAATGAATCCTATTGATATTGACTTTGTCTCTGATCTTGAGAAAATCAATCTATATTCATCTTATAGATGTGCTGATAAATGTGCATACAGATATGAATTAAATTTTTTTTAATTGTAATATTTGTTATTATTTTGAATATATTTATTGTTTTATAAAAAAAAATTTATATATCGTTTCTCGATCCCTGCCAACAATTTTTTGTTTTCATGATTTTCTGATAGTATTGTACTTTATAATGCTAAGTATTACTCTATGTTACTCTGTGTTATTTTGGAAATTATTATAATTTTGTAATAAACTTCCTATGAACGTCAATTCATTAATGTAATATATTCCTGTTTCTATTGTTTTGCACAAAGAAATTGATGTCTCCTTTTGTCTCATTACATGTATCTCCTTTTAAATGTTATAAAATTATATATGAAAGATCCAATAAATCATGAATTGTGATTTTCAACAGCTACAGCGTCTGATCTCGTTGTGCCATAAGCGCTTTTTTCAGCAACATCCTATTTTCTTTCGTATATCTATGTCTCTCATCATTGTCTCTCTAAAAAGATATCTCTCGAGATATCTTAAAATATTTGTATATTCGGTACATCCTCCGCATCTATTTTTAATGAGTCGTTGTTAGCGTCGTTGATTTTCGAAAAAAAAAGGTCACTCAAAAGTCACTCAAAAGTCGAGGAAACAGCAAAATCGCGCCGGGCATGCTCGCGTTAGTTATAGGTTAGGAATTAGTAAACACGCGGCAAGAAGCGCGCGCTTAATCACACCATGCGACGATAATGACCGACATCGCGTAATAACACGTCCCACCTCTCCCCCTTCCCCAGGACTCCGGAAATCTTACTTCTCGAGTGCCGGCGAATGTGTCGCTGCACGGTATCGAACTCGCTTGTAGTCGGCGTCATCGAATAGTCGAGCATCTACCTTTAATTCTTCCGTTCGATCGTGCCAATTTTATGATTTCTCCGAAATGATCCTCGCGTTACTTTCCGTTTCTTTCGGAACGTTTCAGATCAAACAGTCTTCGCTTTTGTTTATGCGAGTCCTCGAGTCCTCGAGTCCCTACTTTTTTTTCGTTTTGATTTTCTTCAGAAAATGGGTCTCAGATGTTGATGAACTTGAACTTATCTTTGTTCCGTCGAGGATCAGGGACGAGGCGAGTGGAGCGCTCGAGCCAAGATTGAAATTCATTCGGTCAGTCGGTCAGTTAGTCGGTCAATCAATCGGTTGACATTAGTTGTCAGTTAACGTTGAGCGAAGAATCGAGTGTTCGGCGCGCGAGCGCCCTGTCTCTCTCTCTCTCTCTCTCTCTCTCCTCTCTCTTTCTCTTTCCTACCTGCGGAACTCGCCGCGGCGTGTATAGAGCATGCCGCGCGGCCGCTGGACCAATCGTCGGCGGGAAATCACGTGCGGATACGAAAGCGACCAATGCGCTGCGCGCTTTAACTGCGTATCGATTGGCGAGTCGTGTTTTCAATTCTCGACGAGAGCGAGAGAAGCAATTATTCTCCGGCGTCGGCCATTTTGCGCGATCCATGACCCACGACCGTGGCACCCGCGTCAGCCCGCGACGACGCGACACCGCCACGCGAAGAAATCGCGCGCGTCGATTTGTTTACGCACCTTATATGTAAATAAATATATATGTGTATACATACGTATATGTATATACCCGCGTGAAACCGCGCGCCGCTCGATGTAAAGCGCGTCTCTTCGTGGCTTCCGCGTACTGGCATATACTGTGCTGCGAGAACGCGCGCTCGCGCATAACCGTCAAGTTCGCCCGAGGGGAGGATTTCGAGGCCGCGAAGAGCGATTTTGACAGTTGTGTGAAGGAAAGCGCGGTAAATCGCAAACGATTTGCCAACGACGTTCCATCGGCGATCAGCGTTGACGAAGAAACAAAGCAGAAACGACTTTGCTCCGTCGGCGTGTCACCTCGGTGCGTTTGTACCCGACCTCTCTCGTGTTCTCTATCTTTCTCTCTCTTTCTTTCTCTCTTTTTCTCGCCTCTTCCGCGCGTTCGTCCCTCTCTTTCTTTCCCTACCCGCAGGAACGATGTAACTTCTGCGCACCAAACAAACTTTACATGTACACGGGAGCGCGACGGTGTATGCGTGGTGTAATGAAATACAGGCGCGCGATACGACGGGAAGATGTAACCTTCTCTGGAGGAAAGGTGTAGTGACGGCACCGATGCATTCTGTTTCAGACGAGAGTGAGGGCATTCCCAACTCGTCCGACGACAGTCTGAACGGTCAGCAATTTCTACTTGATTGCGACATTTGCGGCGAACGATTCGCCTCCAAGAAGCCGCTTCGCGTCCACATTAATACGCACCTGAGAAAACTTCGCATTGTCCTCAAGAGGGTGGCAAATCCAAAAGTGGTGAGGGTGAAGAACGATACGTACTGGCTGGATCCTGAGAAAACTGGCTTGCTGAAATTGACACTGAAGAAAAAGAGTGTGGCCGATTCTCTCAAGCTTACTCTGAAAAAGTCTTCAAAATCAGAAGATTTCACTGTTGTGAATAATAATTTTTATCCGGTCATTAAGTACTATCAGCAGAGAGACGTGGCAGGTGCTAAGGAAAATGATACTAGAAGCAACAAGGCAGTGGAGAACTCAGTTGATGAACCTTTTGAAAACGTGATGGTAGATCAACAAGTGAGTCTTTCTTTAGATATTGTGTTGAAGTTGAGTATTTTTTTTTTTATTTCCTGGTTCTGTTTATAGGATGATTATGACAATGTCAAGTTGGATACCGACCATCACAATCCTCTTGAAGAAAATGAAAGACCATCCACAGACATTAATGAGAGTGACTCTGATGTAGGGAGTGATATGGCAAATCCATCTGAGAAAGATGATCAAAATGTTGATGATACACAAAGCACTGACAACTTTGACAATTCTGAGAAAAGAGTTTCAGAATCCGAGGATCATGAGGAAACGGATGCTTTGGAGGCAACCTGCAGGGAAACTATTGAAAATTTGAAAAAACTTGGTGAACAGTCAAGGTAAATCAGTAGATTATGCTATTGAATAACATAGATACATCACATTTCTATTGATCATTTAAGATGAGAACTTAATAGTAAAATGGAATCAAAAAGAAAATATAAAAATAAAATAAATTATTATCTTTGTTTAGATTATATACTTTTTATATATTTTAATCTTTTTTAATCTTTTAAATATCTAAGGCTATTTAAACTGTTACATGTACTAACTATGTATCCTGGTTGTGATATCTTTCTGGATTTAGATCTTTTTTTATAGTTCCAGATCAGCGAATCAACTAATTGACAGTTCATCAGTGGAGGAAGAAAATGACAGGAATCATGAATCCAGCATGATACATAATCTCGAACAGAGTTCTTCCATCAGTATCAATCCAAAATCTTTCACATTTTCCAATCATACAACTGAACGTACCTCGATATCTGACAGTGAAGATAAGAACAGAGAATCAACTGATACATCACAGACACAAAATTTCAATTGGAATCAATTATCTGCTGATTTATCAAGCAAAAACAATGAAGATTTCAACAAAGATGATAGTGAACAACAGGGAGATACCGACGCTAGCATGGACAATGCTGGATCTATTTTGCAGAACTTTCTCATCGAACATCAGAGACGCAATCCGAATGACGTATCGTTATCGAATAATTTATCATCCAGTGAGACGGCAGAGTACGTGCCCCTCGAGAAACTGGCGGAGACCGTCAACATGTGTCGCGTTTGTAATGAAAAATTCAAAGACATTGCGCACTTGGATGAGCATCGTAGCAAAGCCGGTCATTATCAGTGCAATATACCGGAATGTGCTAATCTCATTTTTCATTCTTCGATGGAGGTGTCGATACATCGAGCGCAGGTGCACAGCACCCCGCTCTCACCAAGCATGAGTCAATTGTCACCTCATCATTTATCGTCAAACACAAATACGTCACATCTAGGCCAAACCACGCATTCGCCTCATGCTGTTTCTGTTGCATCTGTGGAGACATCGTCGACGAACGGCTCACATCAACTCAGTAGGACATCGCCATTAACATCGCCGCATCAGACCAATTCACCGACATTCAATGCGGTGGCAGCGGCGGCAACCGGCAGTGCTGCTGGTCAGCAAATGCAAATACCGCCGGTAAACTTTGAACAACTACCACCACCTGTACAGCAACTGGCCCAGCAAGTGCAGCGTATGCCTCTTCCACAGACGCAAATGCCCCCTAGTCTTCCTCCAGGAGCTAATACGATGATACCTGCACCAAGTTATTTTGTACAACCACCAGGGCGACCACCTTTGTACAGAGTATCTGGTCCACAGGGTATACACTATCCACCTCATATGGCGCATTTGTATCAGTATGGACCAAATCCATATCCTCAGATAGCTGCGCCTCCCCCGCAAATGCATCCCCAAATGCCCCAACAAGTTTCACGGGGTCGATATCCATCGGCGTCTGTTATTCAAAACAGCAGGTAAACGTATCTTTCATATATATGCGCGAATGTGTTTATTAAATGTTGCCTTTAATTTTCAGGGCACCACGATTACCACAAACTACTGGTCCAGTTCCTCGCCAACGCATGAAGAGGCCTTTGCAGCAGGCTATACAACCACCAAATAATACCTCCGCAAAGAGACGTATGGACGTTTTATTACCTGATAGAAATGAAGATGCAGACTGCCATGTCATAGCTCAACAAAAGAGAAATGACGGATTACCTGTTATTCAAAATGTTCAGGGGGCTACTACACAACAAACCAGTAGAAATGATTCTACGATACATCTTACAGATTCGATCACTTTAAGTGTTCGGCAACCTGGTAAGATTATATCATGCTAAAAACGTACTTTATTATAAATCAATTATATACAATTATATATCAATTGTCCTTTAAGTTCTGTTATCGCTTGCATTTTTTTTAATTCGCTACAGCCTGTATAAAGTGCCTCTTCTATGAAATTTATTTCTTATGATTTTTATTAATTGTTTTTTACAAAAAAAGATTATATTTATTACATTTGCAATTTCGAAATTTAATTTTAATGAGTTTTAGTTTTAATTTTTCTATTTGCTTTATTTTGTTGCATATGTATGCTGCATTGTGTATAGAATATAGATCTTTTAAAGAAAATTATTATATTACTATATTCGCAGAAGGGGTGCATTACAATAAAATAGCGTTGTCTTTTACTAATCTGAAGGTTCCATCCCAGCTCAAGTCCAGAATACGTCGAATCCGGGGGGAAAGAAATCTGATGCCAAGGCAGTGGCGAATGTCCTCGCGGCTCGAGGTATAACCGTTACTCCAGCTGCAAATAAAAATAAGACAAATGAACAAAACAAACAGCAAATACCTTCTCAGCAGCAGCAGAGGCCACCACCTTCACAGCAGCCTTTAAATGTTACAGCGCTCAATCTGAATTCCGCTATTTCTATCATACCAACTAGTTCACAAAGAAAGCAACAAGAGCAAGGACAATTTGCTGTTCCGCAAAATAAACAGAACAAATCGCCCATTAATGACCAAGTCGAGCGACCACCGAGACCACCGACTGTGGATCTTACGCAGGATACTCCACCGCAGATGCCAGTGGTTAGACGTGGTCGACCGCCTAGGTGAGAAAATTATGTCATCTCATCTAGGTTTTTTATATACTATTTATATTGTTATATTTACTAGTCAATGATTAGCTTATGAGAGCACAAGAGAGCTCATGAGATATATATATATATATTTACATTTTCCAGAGCAATGTTAACGTGTCAGGTATGCGATAAGAATTTTCAAAATCAAGATATGTTGACACAGCACATGGCAACTCATCGAACGACCAGTAAACTGCTTCACAGGTGAGCTATAATTTTTCACTCATTTTTTTCTTAAAATAGTGACACACATGGCGACAGAACTGATCAGTTCCTTTTTTTTTTTTTTTAAGGTGTAATCTTTGTCCAGCTCAATATCCTACAGTTCAGGCATTGACAACGCATAAACAGACTTACCATAAAGAAGTTGATACCGTGACACAAAACGGAGGCACGGAATTGGCTCTACCGGTTGTGGATCTAAAGTCGCCGCATGTTCTGAACCGCTTGGCGAATTTAGGCATTCAAAGCTACATACCGTTGTCGCAGTTAAGTGCTCAAACCGGTGGTTACTTCGGTTTGCCGATTATCACGATAGACGGTGCGAGAAATACGAGCACCTGCAATCTAGGTGCGCTTGGTGCTACCTCTATATTAAGTCTTGGTCCTCTTAAGCATATATCGAACGGGTAACTGCGGACGAACTCGCATTTGGCCTATTCCACGTGTGCAATCACGCTCCTCTTTGGTTATTATTCTCATTCAAATTGCTTTACTTGTTACTGTATTGCCAATGACCATGACATATGACATGTTCTGATTTCTGAAGAGAAAACCGTGATATAGTTTAAGTAGAGTCGTCTTAAATGCCACGTGTTGTGTATAAAGAATATATTGAAATGTTCTTTATATGTATAAGAAATACATATATGCGAGATTTATTTATGAATCTTTTTTATCTTATTGTGAAAAAAATAGTTGACGACTGAACTTAGACATAAAATTTGTTAATTTATTTATAGACTTAAAGCAATACAGTATTCTTCACATAAAACTTTTCTGATTAAAATTATACTACATTTTGATAAAATAAGATTTTAAGATCCAATTAATCTAGGTAATTAACCCTTTCGCTACAGCAGAGCACTAACCGAGAAATGCTACCGTCGTGCGGGAGAGCGAGCTGCAAGTGTGATTGTTGCGGACAAATTTTAATTTTTTTATTATTTTAATAATGCGGTAAAGTCATATCTTATAATAAGTTTATTTTCATTTATTATTGCTACAGATAAACATTGTTGCTTTGTAGTAACTTAGTTTCGCTTTAGCTTCGTACGCGGCAAACATGTGTCGGCTGTGCATTACAGTGGCCGTTCATAATGCAATGGTAGCCTAGTACTCGGTGGACATGCACTGTGGCCATTCGTAGTTAAAGGGTTAAAGTACGAGGTATGTAATATATCATTATAAAAAGAATCTTAAACCCCATGAATTATTTTGTATATTTTTTTTAATAAAGATATCAAAAATATAGAAAAAGTTCTCTGCTAAACTTACACGTTCCAATGTATAAATTATTTAGCAAAAAATAACTATACAGCTAAATCTTTCTTTATTGTTGAAGTATTTTAACTTTAAAATATATTTAATGAAAAATTTTATAACTTTTTGTCGATTGAAAAAAAACTATACTGAAAAACTACACAGTATCAAATATAAGATGTTGGGTTGTATCATATCAAATTGTTGATGTTCGATCAGTTGAAAGTATTTAAAATAAAATACTTCAAAATACACTTGTGTTATTGTGTTCATAATAATATTGGGCTTTCCAATTTTTTTTTATTCATTATTTTTATATAACTTCCTTTACGGAAATAGAAAATATGGTTACAAGAATACACGTGTACATTTCTTTTAAATAAACTTAAATTTGTTTAATAAACTTAAATAAATGAGTTTTATAATTAATACAATTCAGATAGATTAATATAGTTTTAGATAAGGAAGTTAAAGAAACTATTCAATAGTGATTCGAAAAATTTTATTTTAAATGAAATTAATGAAATGGGTTAATTTTGAAAATGAATTTACATAATCGCAAATGTTAATGTATTTAAAATAAATTTTGCTATTTTCAATATGTGGCATTTTTATTTTGTCTTATAAATGGAGATTCAGCAATTTCTTATGATACAACCTAAGAAATACAAACAAACTATGTGTGCAATATGCGATAAACTAATGTACCTAATCAGACAAAATTATTTTGCCAGATAATAAAAAATTATATGGATAAAATACTATATTTAATATTGTTATATCCATATATATGTGTCTCTATTTTAAAGAGTTTACCCATTTGATTATTCGGTAAAGAAATATATTTTGAGATTAAACAGAATCATTTTCATAAAAACTTTTATTAAAAACTTTTTTTTTAGAAAAATTTTCAATTTCTTGATACAAAATATTAATCACAAAATTATTACCAACGGAGGTTTAAACTTTAATATATATATATATATAAAATAAATTTTTAATGTCAAATTGTTCAATACACATTCAAAAACATATTTCTTTACCGAACACGTGGAATGGATAAGTTCTTTTAAAAAGATTACAATCATCGAAACAAGCATTGATATGTTAATGAGAAAAATATCTTAAACATTTTTTGTTGTAAGAGAAGAAAGCAACTTTTATTTTGTAAAATTGATAAAATATTAAAACACAACTAGGTTGTACATACATTTTGTAAAAAGAAAGACAAAAGTGATTAAAAATATATTCCTTTATACTTGAGACATGTTTTTATAAACATATTATCATATACGCATAATATCATATATGCAATCTTTATTTATTACCATTCCTATATATTATACGCAATAAGTGGTTTTATTTTTTAATTATATACTTAATACTTTATGCATCTTCATATTATGTTATATATTATTATACATTTATTCTTTACATACATTATTCTTTATATTAATTTATATACTTTAAATAAACAGTCATCTGTCGAATTCATAGAGAAACGATTTATCATCGCGAGCGACTGGTAATGAGATATTCAAATATTATATATGTGTGTAGGATAATAAATAAATAATATATATATATATATATATATATATATATATATATATATATATATATATATATATATATATATATATATGAATATTTTCGTCGCAGATCCGAATGTACAAGAACGATTGGGCATTGTATCGTTCATCTTCGTTTTTAAACGGGATTCTTAACATGTATATTTAAATGAATATTTACATATAGACAATTTAAATGAATATTACATTTAGACGAGCTTGTTCCTTCGTAGTCGAATACAAAGCGAGACATTATTCGATTTCTTGTTTTACATATCTGAAGATATTTTGGCTTCATTAGTTCCTCAAACGATCCTCGCCATTTAAAGAATGAAAAATAATATAGACATGTTACTTTTTCCATTTGACTTTTTTTATTGCAATTTCCCCACCCGTAAAATCAAAAGTTTAACGATATTGGTACTAACGGTATTGCACTTTATTTCATATTTACATAATCACACATCATAATTTTTCGTTACTTATATTTAAGCGGCATCAACGCACTTTAATTTTATATCTTTTGGTAGCTCTATAAATTCTGTATTTCTCTTAGATTTACGATGGCTTTGTAATAAATTTTATCTTTTCTACAGACTTTCTCCTCATTGTTTCTGTTTGCATTGAGATATGTTGCTGACAGTATCTTGTAAATCCTATTTATTTATCTTCGCGCCTACTTGAATTGTCGCTTCTATCTTAGCAAGCAATATTTTTGAAGAGGGCGCAAGTGTGCAGCAAGCAAGTTTATCAAGTAACGCAGCAAAGCATTAATCGAATGGCTTTTCTTGATGGCAGCATATCCTCTTGTCAAGTGTAAGGTTATACATAATGTCCATATCTTTCAATGCAAATTAATTTTAATCGGTTCTACTTGTTATCTTTCTTAGTTCTAAAACTTAAAAAAAAGTAAGGAGTAAATTAAATCAAAATTTATGTTAATCTACAATGATAGAAGTGAATATCAGAAAGTTAATGTCCATTTCTATCAATGTCTATTAATTTTAATGTTAATTTAATTTACTTTTTTTCTAATTCTTTAAACTAAAAAAAAAGTAATATTGTTTTAACATTTCAATAAACATAGAACTTGTACTTTTCGTTTATTTGATAATTGCGATTAGTTTCAACAATAATAAATGTTTATATTTCAGCATAACGGAATGAGCTCCAGCACGATTGTTGCAAGAGCAGAGGAATATTTTTATAACATAAATCCTATAGCTCGGAGGATCGGTGAGGATATAACCGCGACGAAAGAAGCTTACGAGGGATTATGGAATACTCTAAGCATAACAGAGCGCAATCAAGCCATCAACGAGACTATAATTCAGCCAGAAGTAGCTTTGAAGTATACCTTGAAGAAGGTTGAATTGATCAAAGAATTACCCGAGTGGTATCCAAAGCTACGCATACAGACTGGAATGAAATATGTCATAGATGAAACTGGTTCGGTAAGTTCATGTTATCAATATTCATGGAAAGAAATTAAAGATAACAGATTGATAACTCATCTCTTTGATTATACCTAATGTTACAGACATTACGATGGCGAGATGAGCACTCTGCACCATTTTCATTTATGACTCAATCGCAAATGAATCTTAGTTTGATAGATTCTAGCGAAGATGTGACATCTAGGTCAATGAAGAGTCATTTTGGAGAATCACCACATTTTTCTAGTCCTGGAAAGGCACAAAGGAATAATTGTTCACTAAATGACAACTACAGTTCTGCACATCAAGTCACTTGTTATCCATCAGACTGTTATACCAATGATTTATTCGAGAACGATCAATGTAGCGATTTACTCACGAATGGAATCGACAGTGAACATTCCGATAATATATTTGCCAAACTGATTAATAAGACTTCTTTATTGAAATTGCAAAACAACGTTGAAGATGATATGGAGAGCTTAGTGAGGGATTCCGATACAGATAAAAGCCAATCGAACACCTTGGTAGTAATGTCACGAACGAAATCAAGCGATATAAACGAATCGACTGCTTTATTAGAAACACCCAGTTCCTATAGTAGCTTTCAGTCATCCCATTTAAATCAAGAAGATGAAGAGAGAAGTATACCAAAGACTGGATTTGAGTTTCTTGACAATTGGTAAACTCATTCCGTTGCGAAAAATGATGCAATTTTCTAAACGCACTTCTATTATATGAAAATATTCTCATAATATATCTTAAGAATGTACACTGCATATACATATGAATGCAGATGTTTGAACAATGTATTTGATTATTCCAATGCTATATTTAAAAATATGTGTATGTGAGATTTGCAAAGACAGATTATATTTATATGTGTAAAGAAATTATAAAGAAACTAAATAATTTTTATAGTATGTAATCTTCATAGGTAAGATTTTTTATGTTTATTTATGTCTATATGTCTTGTGTCTTTTTTATGTTTTTTTATGTCTATATTTTGTAATGCTTTATCTTATTATTATCTTTGTACTATTGGATACCATTTACATGACAGATGATTCAAAGAGTTAAAGAGACTGAAAAAGAATAATTTCCAAAAGGATATGTTCCCAGTATATTTAAACCCACTTAGACTTTGATAGACGCATTTATCAATCGTTTATCCTAAATAGATATCGAATAACATAGCCAGTTTAGATTTGTTACCTCTTTTACAGTATTACATTTTATAATATAAAAAAATAATTTATAATATAATACGAACAGATAGATAGAATGCTTAGTGCATTTCATAAGTATCTGGTCACTATTTACAAGCAATAATTTAGCTTGAAAAGATTTGTAAACTATCTTATTCATTATATATTAATATATATGTATCACATGAATTCGTTGTAACTTACTTCCCATACGTACATGTATATTCATAATATATGCATAATATTAATTATATTACAAACCATGATTTGCTTTTTGGTTCTGAAGAATTTCTTCGGCTCGAGTCTGATATCGTTTTGGCGACAGAGTCACGGAAAGCCTTCAAGTTTTCTTAAGAAAATTCCTTTGATTGATTTTCTTTTAAGTAGTCCAGAATCCGGACAACCAAACTAAAAATATCAGGAAGCTTTTTCGTTTGTTTTTATTAACGTAAATATCGTTATGAAAGAAAATGAATAAATTTTTGATCAATGTAATTTCAAATTTAGAATGACATGAAAAATAAAAGAAATTGATGAAAATTTGATTAATGAAAAATATTCTGATCTATATGTTTGTCATATTTTATATGATATTATACCTTCACTGCCGGGCGACTGTACAATCGTTATATTTTCGTCACCGCTACCATTCTGAGCGATTTCGGAGGTCCGATAGTAGTCAAGCACATTTCTCCTCGTCTGGGAAAACGAGCAACTAGCTCGCAATTCCGTCGCTTTTATTATTCGTCTGGCTTCTGATTTACGCTCGAAGGGTGACATCAGTATCAGACGCCGTTTCGACGATGTTCGAACTGAGACTTTAAAAATAACAACGATTTTAAAACCGAATAATTACGAAACTTAAGGCTCGACTTTGTCGAACAGCCAACTCGGTTTTGTGACATCATCATAGACGAGGAATGAATCGTTATTTCAAGAATTTCAAGTCATTTTTCAGCGGCCATTCTTAAGCGGCCAGTGACAGCTCATCATGTTTGAAATATAATCCGTTATTTTAGGAATTATTTTTCACTTCTACGTGACAGATATTTTAGTTTTCCACACATTTTACAAATTTCAAAACCACAAAATTATGATTTTAAAGAAAACTAAAAAATAGAGTTCCTCATCGGGAATTATCGCATGCCATTTCTTGTCTATGATGTACTGATCATAAACTAATATGACTGCAGACGAGAAAGCCAAGTAGATACGGATTGATGCGTGAAAGAGAAGAAGTTATGTGATTTTATTTACCGAAGGTTCTATTTAATAATCAACATAATAAGAATAGTCTCATTAAATTTTTCTACGTCTTTTCTTTAAATCTATTGTTCATTTCACATATCTGCAATGTTATACAGATATATTAACATACCACTCGCATTGATTTTATCTCCTGATGCACCCCTACATAGGTTTTTCGATTCCTTCGACGATCTGTCAACTAAGGTGGATAAACTTCTTGAAACGATGGCTGCCTGTCGATTACTATCATTACTCGATGATCCGTGACAGACATTCGGCAAGGATTTACCCTTTGGCTTCAACAAAGTGATTTGTGGAAGAGAAAAACCTGACAAATTATTTAAAAACTAATTTTTATCAAAGAATTTTAAAAATGTACTACTTAACTTAAATGCATTGTATAGCAATTTTAGTAATTTTATTGCAAAGTCATGCTTACTTTTTCTTTCTGGATGTTCTTTCAGAGGACTGCATTGCCCATACCCCGAGCATCTTTGTCCATCGAGACAATCCTGATCCTCAGAAGATATCGACCGCTTTTCGTCTACGGTATTACTATTTCTATATTGTTCCAACGCTTGACGTTCCAATTCCTACAAAAGCGTAAATATCAGTATATAATTTGATTATTCTATATAGAAGATAAAAATAAATCAAAAAGAATACTGTGAATTTGTGAAGCTAAATATATAGTCTTTGACATTAAGAATTAATTGAGAGATTAGTTTCTTTTCTCTCAGGATGTTTAATAATTATCAAAGTTGAAGGAAATATTATAATCCGACTTATTCGTACTAAATCCGATCTGTTTTTCGAGAAATTTATGTCTTATAATCTTATCATTTCTTTTTTGAATCATTTTATCTTTTGTGAGGATATTTAGTCACGAGATAATATTCAAGTTTAGTTCATTGCCTGATATCTGAGTGCCAGCGACTCCTCCGAGTTCCTGTATTGTTCCATCGCTTGCTGTTCAAGCTCATCGTATCTGAAAATCCATGAAACGCTCAACTATAAGTAAATCTAATTATAGAATATCGTCCATTAAATCAGTTGATGCTTCAAAAATAAATTGACAAAACTTCAATGTACCTCTTCTCGAAGACATTATCCAGATTTGTCTCACTCGAGATATTCGCCAGAACATCTCTGTAAAGAGGCCGCTTTATCCTATTATCCTTTTCTTCAACATCCATAATCCTGATCTTTGAACTTTCATTTCCTAAGAGTCTGTCCTTTGACTTGTATCTTGAGTTTTTTTTTCCAAAAATTTTACTCTTCGACCGAAACGAATTTTCGGATGATCCTTGTTTATTTTGCGATGATTCAGCTGGCCTCCAATTGGTGTCAATTCCTTTACAATATTCATATTTCTCTTCAAAACTGCGTAATTCGGACACGAGTGTATTCATAGTCACGACCTCCTTTGGTTTCTTTACACAATGATCCCTATTGAACCACTGCACTTGCACATTATGACCAGAAGTCTTCAGGTTCTGTCTAGAATCCAGAAGAAAAGGTTGCTGAATAGCAACCTTTGAATGACCACGTTGAGTCTTGATGGTATTCTTTGTCAATAGAATAAGATTATTGAAGTCGACTCCTTGACTTTTTCGTTTTGTTACTGGCTCCTGATATAATTCTATTGGTCGCTGATACACAGGTATGGGTGTCATTGAATTTGGCTGAGTACAAGGTAAAAATTTCTCGTATATCTGTAAAATTATAAGTTAGAAATTTATTAGAAGAATTTAAGCGTTTTATTTACATATAAAAAAACTGTGAGAATTTTTAGCAACACATAAATATAACATTATAAAGGGTGTTTCATTTTAAAATATTGAAATATCTTTTTAGAAAAGCGTTTTAAAGAAAAACATTTTAAAAGTTGTAGGGTTCAGAAAGGGACATCTGATGATGACTTTGTCTTTGTCACAACTGCTCTTTCTCAAGATCATTTAAAGATCAACTTTTATTTTTTAAATGAAAATATCCACCTTTTTATTACATATTATTGTAGTTGATCTCTGCAAAGCACTATAATAAAGTACTTCTTTAGTAAGTACTTTCTGAATTATGAGGCTTGGGTTTGACATGCAATTTGACATAAAATATAAAATATCTCGTAAATTATTCATTTTTTTAACAACATATCTTAATACTTTTATGCATAGAATAACGAGATGAATCAATTGGTGTAAAGAAAATACATAATTATTTTCCAAAAAAGATACATCGTTGCATATTGCAAATCTCTATTTTTTCTTAAACAGCAACTAAATATTTTCTTTTTTTAAGGGGATGTTGGACTTGTCTATATTATCGACAAAATGCAGTAATTTTTGTATTGCTCTCATTTTTTATTAACTTTATAGATCTGGAAATTCTTTTCCACAATTAAGAATATACGATTATTATTCATATTGTAACTATTACAAAAAAACTTTTAAAGAATCGATTAATTATTCTGAAGTATAATTATCCTTTATATATTTACGAGAAAACATTTAAATATATAAATATTAATTATATTTTAAAATAATTAATAGATTCTTTAAATTTTTTAACCAGGTATTTTTATTAAAAAAATACCTGCAAAGGATGATGAGTAATCGCAGTGTCATGAAAAGGTTGTAACGACGTGCAAATCGGCAAAGGTGACGTGGAAGATGTCAACTGTAACTGTATGGGTGGTGCTACTCTCTGGATCCATTCTTGAGGCGAACGAAACACATTCGTCTCTGTCGCTGGTAGTATGGACATTCTAGTATTCTGTACCAGAAATAAATAAGCATAACTAAATTACTAGAAATTAATTATAAAAAAAATATTTAAGAGAATATTATCTGTGCCAAATCCTTGTTAATTTTATATACAAAAGTGTGATATGATCTTTTTGTTTTTTAACTATGCAATTATATTTTAGTTATTAATCGTGTTTTTGATTGTCATCAAATATTTCAAGATCAGAAAATACATTCTATTTGTAAAAATTTTCATTCTTAGAATTTATCATTGTGACATTCGCAAACACGTCGATAAAATCCACATGTTGCAATCTGATGTACTGAGAATTTGACTTTTTCCGATCTCTTTCAGGAACTTGATACTTTGATACAAATGAGCTTGCTCTTGTTGATCATACATTTATTGGAAAAACGGTCGCCGCGGTTTCGTGCTGCGGCCTGTTGTAAGGAAACAACTCGTTCTGGTAATTTCTATCGGTCAACGACGGAAAATAGCGTATCTGGCAAGTCTTGCGCTCCTTGTCGCTGTTCAGACCGTAAGCAATCGGCGGTAGACTCGATTTTGGAAAGAATTCCGGCACTTCGGCGCTTAAAACCGGCGGCGGCGGCGGCGGCGGCGGCGGCGGCGGCGGCGGCGGCGGTTGCTGCAACGACGGCTTCCGCTGGTATTCCGCTCTCAGGACTAAGGGTTGATACTGCAACGCGCAGTAGAATTGCTGATGTTGTTGGACAGTAGGCTGCGTTTGTCGCGCGACATGCAACTGCTGAATCTGCTGAGGGCATCGCTGTTGCTTTTGTTGAAACTTCTCCGGATTCCATATGTCGCGCACCATATCGCTTTCGATGCGAGACTGCAGTTGTATTTCCGCGGCAGTCTCGATGGTGTATCGTCGATGACGAGCAAACGTTCTGATTGATTTTTCACGAGGCTCTGACAAAGCAATATGTATAGTAAGAAATAAAAGAAGTTGATTTTTAATAGATAAGGGGGTAAAAGAAGGTGAAGATAATTTTACTTGATTTAATTGTCTTATATTAAGTTGAGTGTCTAATCTTGAGACGATTTATCGATTCTTTTGTGTTGTCTATTTGTTGTGTCTTTTATGACTTTATTCAGGATTGGTAAGTAACGCGTAATTTGTAACGCCGTTACCATTACAGCTACCTTTTTTTGATAACAAACTGATGATAAATAACATTACTTTTTTTTTGTAGTAACTGTAACGATAACGTAGTTATATTTTTTTAGTAACGAATTTAACAGTTGTTTTTAGCGTTACTTTTTATGTATTGAACCTGTTTATAACATAATTTTTCTATATTAAATGTTCAGTCTTTGACCGATATTTATAGTTAGTCTGTTATTATATTTAAGATCGTTTTAAAAATAATTTATTATAAATCATAGAAATCAATCATGGAACCGCATTAGCATAAGAGAACAAACTTTATAAATACCGACCTTTAAAAATTAAATATAAAATTGAGGATAGAAAGAAAACATAAATTTAACTGTATTTATAAATTTAATGGAAACCACATTTTTTTATTTGTATTTTTAATCTTTCTTCTTAAATTTTTTTTTGTGGTTTTGCAAATTTAAGATAAAAAGTTTTCGTTTTCATTGATAATTTAAAAAATTATAAAATTTTTTATTTAATCTAATTTTAATCTAATTTAATTTAATCTAATTTAATCTAATTTTTAATATTAAAAAAGTAACAAAAAAGTAATAAAGCGGGTTTTTTAAGTAAGGATAATAAATTATTTTTTAGAATCGGTAACTAATAACGATAACTAATTACTTTTTCGATTCAGTAACAAATAATGATAACAAATTATTTTTAAAAAACAACTTTCTCACTTCTGTATATATTTATTAAGACGATTCATTGTTTTTTAATATTTAAACTAGCATATTAGTTAATAAAATAATATACAAACGGTTAATCTAAATTAATAAAATAATTTGAAAAAATAACAATTAAAATAAAATAAATAAAATAAATTCAAATGCAAAGTCATTATCTACTACATTATTACACCTACGTCATTATATCTACATTCTTTACTTTTCATATGGAGATCTGAACAAATACCATTTACAAATTTATTTATAATCTCATTAAAATTATACGCTATTACAACAATATTATAAGCTTACCACCCTCGTCTGATTTATGAGTCGAAAATAATTCATTATGCAATCCAATTTTTCTGCTCCCTTTTGGACTGATTTTTTGACGTCGTTTTTTTGAGCTCTCGTTCCAATCCAATGGGAAATTTGAGCAAGCGACAATTTCATTTTCCTTCTTCGTGGTGTTACACTTCAGTATTTGTATTGCTGAGCTTTGCAAATGGAACATACTATTAATGAGACATTAAAATCCAAATCGTGATCAACACTGTGTGCATTTAGCATTGCTACTTTTGCAATAGCAGAGCTCATTGAAAGACATATTAAGTAAATTAATTAATTTTAATTAGACATATTAAGACATATTAAGTAAATTAATTATTACGACCGATTATTATATTAATTAATATTATATTTTAAATGTCGAACGTAATTTAGCGTTTCTAATTAAATACCGCAGACATATCATTAATTATCTCATTCCGATAACATCGATAACACGAAATTTTTGTCGAGGGAAGAGCCCCTTCGAAAATGAAAATGACGACACGGAAGTGCCGAAGCAAACTAACGGTTCCCGATGCGATCGCGTGCAGCGATCGGCGAGATTAACCGGGCGAAGTGTTCTTGAACTTCAGGAAGCATCCACGGCTCCATAGCCTCTGTAGCTGAACGGAAGTGGCAAAGCACGCTACCCGACGATTTACCGTCGTCCGGCCTGTACATTCTTTCATGCTGCTCGTCGTACTCGTAATTACCGTATTTCGCCAAGCGCGATTCGGAGATGACGTCTCGGACGAGTCTTGGACGATAATCACCATATTCCTCGTACTTCGCGGTTACTTCGCAACTCTGGCATTAAACGCGCGCGAGATAAGTTATCATTATGTCAAAATAAAGTTTTTCTTTACTCTCTTCCTCTTTACTTCGAAAAATCTGAAGAATTACTATACACGCGGTAACTTATTTTCAATAATTTATAACCGCGTGTCTGCTATCTTTCGATAAATGAGATATAGAATATGTTTGTGATCTCGAATTGTCCAATATATTTCCGGAAAAAACAATGTAGGATTTTATTTTCATCTTCAATAATATATTGTTTCAATGATGAAAAGAGAAATGGAAAAGAAAGAGAGAGAGAGAGAGAGAGAGAGAGAGAGAGAGAGAATAGTTATTTTTCTTTTCTTTCGCATAAAATATTCTCAAACAACGACTAAATGACGACAATATCAAGAATGTTCGAAGATACATATATAAAATGTGATACTTTGGATATCTACGGGGTACTTGAAAGTATCTGTTGCGCATCTCACTTGAATCCAGAGGGAATGATTTAACTTTTGGAAGGAATCCTCGGGATCGAAAGTCCAGGTCTTGTCGGCGATCAAACTGATATTTGCATAAGCGCTATTCAAAAGCTCTTCATTGTAAGACGAAGATGGAGATATCATTATCTGTACATTATAACCGATAAAAATCGGATTCCGGTAGCCCGATGAGCCGAGAAGTCGACAAAACTTTCGTCAAATGCACTTTCTCGTATCTCGTTCACGAATTAACCAAAAATTCGATTTTAACGAATAACAAATAGACATTAATGTATATATAATAAAAGATAATTAATAAATAATTTGACGCGATAAAATCGGTTTTGGTCGTTTTGGACAAAAGTATCAGAACGGTGCAATAGATGAAGATCGAAGTTGCGTTATTGCGATTTATCGATATAGCAGATAGTGAAATTTTTTCAGAAGCTTCCGAAAAAGTCAATGCAAAATTTTTTAAGTTCTTCGTGTGTGTGTTTTATATGTAAGTTAAACTTAGCTAAATCGATTTGAATTTATTATTTAAACCAAACGTTTCTATCTTTTTATAAATCTCTTTATAAAAATAATCTTCAAATATAGAAATTATACGATAATTTAAAGGGAAAAGGAGTCAATGAAAACAGCAGCTTTTACAAATCTGTCGTCTATTTTACGATCGATGATAATAGAATTAGCACGCACCCGCTGGCACACACACGCGCACGCACGCACGCACGCACACACACACACACACACACACACACACACACACACACACACACACACACACACACACACACACACACACACACACACACACATTCGCACTTTTGTACAATTCACACGCGCGGTTTTATTTACAGGGTGAAATCAGGCCAAGGATCTCATAATTTACAACGTAAACGTGCAAAACGATCATCGACGAAGTCACTTCTCGCGATTGTGAAACGTAGTTTAGAGAGAAGAGAAAATCAGTCTGGTAGCCTGCGAACAGCAGGCCACTCTCAGGAACGCTACGATGGCGCCGTTATTGTCTAACGAATACGAGTTGAGCACGAATTTTACACGCCTGCAAATTATATTATCGTTCGCATGACGTTCATTCCACGGCGACCCGATAATCCCGTTTAGCGACGTTCCGTTATCTTTACAATCCAAGAAGCGAAATAGTTGTTTCTTGTAACGTGGAAGACAAACTCTCTCCCTTCTCTTGATGGGCATTGTAATCAAAACGCCGTGTTTTTGGTCGAATGGCTGAATGCCATAGATGTTATAACATATTTCGCATAAACAAAGAAGATTTAGCAAAATAATTTCTATAATCTAAATCTAAATTGTTCTCAAATCAGATAATATAATTTCAATTTATAGGATAATAAATTTTATAATTCTGCTCACGACGATCGTCGCGAAGAAAAAGATATAAGGATCATTTTTAATTTTTTAAATTAAAATATGAAATAAAATTCATAAAATAAATCTATGTGCTATTTAGCCATCCAAGCATTAATTACGATATGTGCGACTGCATCGAGTGTATATCTGGCACGACAGCTTAGGATATATGTATACAGAAGTCGCTAATTAACAATTAATTGAACTGCCTCGATGTTCAGTCGCACATCTCTTCGTCTTTTCGGCCGACGGATATGGCCGTAATTAAAATGGCATTCAACATAATCTCGCGCGATCATATTTCGTATTTGATATTGCGTATTGATCACTCGAAACGCGCGAACCGTGCATGTTTAACATTAACATTTAATGCAATTAAAATTAATATTATTTGTAATATTAATATCAATCATCCATAATTTTAATATTATAAATAATATTAACTTTATGTATACGTAATACTTCGATTCATAATAATTCTGGTATCGGTCATGGAACAATCATTTACAATTCGACCGACTATGTATAATCGAGGAATAGATATTGCGCGCTTCGCGCGAGCGAGTCATTTTGATTAAACAGGTATCATTCAATATTTACAAAAAACTTTGCGAGATAAAAAGTACGATAGAAAACAACAAATCTCTCCCGTACGACGGAAGAGATACGGACGAGTCTCTCCTCATTGGAAGTTCTTCTTTACATTTTATGGCAAGACGATCATGCGTTCAATGCGCCATCTCGCTGCAATCTATAAACATTGCAACGACTTTTGCACGAAGACGAAGACTTTTCAAATGTCCTCGTATAACTCAAAACCATCCTTCATCCAAATCCGCGAAACTGGACGTCGCTATTCATAACATCGATTTACAAATATTCGATAATCAATCTAAACGAATAGCAAAAAACAATTCAATAATATTCCTACGTAGATCTCGTACGTTTCCTCAAAGCGAGTCTCTACAATTACCTCCGAAATAATTCTCACGATCACTAAATTATTGTTCACTAAATTGTTTCCGACATCACACCCGAGGCTCCGAGGTTTCAAACGTATTCCTCAGATGGCTTGGGGATGTTTGCCGGTAATCTGGGTACCCGACTCGTGCTGTCCGGTAGCTCGGCGATGTCGATGAACACGCCGACAAGACTTTCGAAGTTGGGTCCCCAGTTGAGCAGATAGTCCCAGCTGAGAGCATCCTCGGCGGCGGCGGTGGTGGTGGTGGTGGTGGTAGTGGTTGTGGGCGAACCGTTGCTGGCGTGGCCGCCGTAGAGGAGGCCGCCCATGTGGGTCGACAGATCATCGTCCGAGGCAACGAGAGTGCTGAGGGAGCCGCGAAATGAACTATCGAAGCCATCGTAGTTGCCAACGTTCGGCGGTAATGGTGGTTTCGTCGATTGCGATGATTCGATGTTGTTCCTCCCCTGTGGGCTATTCCCTTCGTCGTTCTGCTTGGCAAATAGATTATCTGATCGTTTGTCACCCACTAATGATCCGTTGTCGTACTCGATTTCTGAGCAGGTGAAGCTATCATTGCCACTCTCGTCAGTAGTCGACGAATTCCGCCGCTCGAGTCTCTCGACGGGTGGCGTGTGACGTCGATGATGATGAAGAGGTCCATGCGTTGGTGGACCCCTGGCCTCGCTGGAGGAACTGACAGCATCCAAAGTGGAGACCAGACTAGACGTTCTTGGACGGGAATTCAGTCGCTCGATTTCCTCCGCCGTGAGGCCCATCGGGCCCGATGACACATTATTCACCGAATTTTCATTGTTGGACTGCGGGGCCTTTCTGCTGGCCGTCGAGCCTGACAGCTGACTCATGATGGGCGAGTTCAGACTCCTTTCGCTGTTGGAATTTAACGCATCTTTGCCAACACCACCGGAGGAAGATGTGGTTGCCAGCAATGCACTTTGTAACGGTTTCCCGCTGATGTCGTGCAGTGTGAGAATCCGCGGTTGTTGCGCGGATAATTCACTGCTGGGCGATAGTCTCGCCAAAGGGGTACTCTGAAGCAATTTGGGCGCCGGTCCGGATGGTTGGTTCACATTGGGCGGTGGCATAGCCCGTGGTGGAAAAGGTCCCGTATGGCGATGTTGTTGTCCGGTATGTTTGTGATGGTTGCCATAATTACCTGTACAAATAATTTTTATTTAACTATTTGATTATGCAACAGTTTTTTAAATATATACATATTTTTAAATATATACATATAAATATATACATATTTTTAAATATATACATATAAATATATTATACATATTTTATAAATTTCACATTTTACGTAAAATTTAACACTTAAAACACGTCTTAGAGTAAATTTTTGAATTTGTCTCTCATCGAAAGATTCTTACTTATAGGAGGTGGAGTGGCTTTGTACTTTCTCATGCCATCGCGATAACCTTTGTAATGGTATACGATGTCAATGTCGCTGGGTGCGATGGAACTGGCGTTCTCCAAGTCGTAGTGTTCCGGAATGTCGGGTTCCGGATTATGCTCATGCGAATGAAGAGAAGTCTGAGTAGGCGGTGGCAGCGGTGGATGCTCATCGCGGATAGGAGGCGACTTGGTGACTTCTCGTTCAATGATATCCGGTCGTTGCGGTCGGTGCTCAGCGGTGGTGTTAATCTCTCGTTCCTTGTACTTTTTTGAAATCAGTTCGGGACCCATGTGACCAACGCCACGCAGATCCGACGTGTCGGAGATGTACGTGTTCTCATGGCGAGACATGAGATTGTCGTTTCCGGGACCAACCAGAGGATTGCCCGTCATAATAGCGTTGGTATTCTTATTGACTACCGACGGTGCCGATTTCTCTTTATTCTGCCGACGCAGTCGGAACACTATAAAGCTCACTAGAATGGCAATTAATAAAATGACGAAGAAGACGATGACCAGAGTGATGCCAATACTAAGAGGATCCGCAGCCGCAGCCGCGCCGATGCCAGTTGGTCCTCTACATCCAATGTTCACTTTACCGTGATAAAGCGCGTCTCTGAAGATAGAGCCTGAACCATTGAACGGTTGTACTTCATTGTTGACAGTAAAGTTAGCCAGACAACCTTCGAAGCTTCTGGAGCCAGCGCTATGAGCGTAATAAAAGTTCTGACTGACTCCTCCAATCGACAAGACGGACAAATAAGGATCGAGAAAATCGTGAACCCCTGCTGAATCTAATTCATCGCCCATCAGACTATCATCGACTAATAATCTTAATCCTCGAGAATAGGCATGGAGAGTGAGATTATGCCAATGTCCGTCGGCAAAACCGCCTTCAACGTGGATCGACATGTTCACCGGTGATCCGAGCAAGGACATGTAAATCAATTGGCCATTGCGAAGCTAAAACACAATATAATCGCTTTAATTAAATCGCAAATGGAGTCTATTTATTTATTTTTATTATTTCTCTTATCCAAGTTTTCATTTAGTTCTATATCTATAATCTGAAAATCGAAAAAAGAAATAAAAATTGATATTTCTTAGGATGCATGTTTAATTTATGTTTATTTTAATATTATTATTATTCTTTAACAGTGCAGTGAACCTAATAAAATCTTTGAAAGTTGATTATTCTTAAACTAAATGATTTAATGACTATTACAGAACAGAGAAAAGAGATGATTAAAGACATGTTTTACCTCTACAGATGTAAAATGTTTATTCGTCGCGGCATATATCAGTATACCATCAGGCTTTACAGTTCTAAACATTAAACCGATTGTCTTCAATGGAGGAGGATTTGTTATAAAGCTTGTGTCCTCGATAAGACTGCGTTTAATGCGATTCGTGTGCCAAATCGTGGAACCACCGTAGAGATATTCCAATAATTGCATTCTTCTATGTTTCTTTGAAATCTGCGCAAACAATAATCACAATTTCAAATTAATTACAAATATAATTGAATATATATTAATATAATTAATAATACAATATTTAACATTGTTCTCAATATTTTAATAATTTCTAAAATTTCTAGAATTTTTATTTATTAACTTGTAATATCAAATCTAATATCAAATCTCTTAATATTAAATAATCTCACAATGTTACATTTTAATAACATTTTAAATATATCATTTAATAATATTACTTCATTATTACACATGGAATTCGGGAATTGTTTATTTATTTTTACCTTGAACTCAATAAATCCTCCTTCGCTCAGCGTGACGGGCTCCAACGCACCATGACAATTAGGCGCCATCAAGGATCCACACTGACACATCACTTGATGCCATTTGTCATAACATCGAGCGCCCACGCCGCAAACGGATACAGCGCTCTTCTCATCTCTCAGGCAAGGATTTTGCTGCGACCTAACGCACGTGGACTTCACACCACGTGATACAAGTGGATTCGTCAGATTCAGAGACTTTCCGTTTATCGACACCGAATGTATACAACCCACAAAATCGTCGGAATGCACTTGGCCCGGACGTTCCAGCACTGGATCAGCGTTCTCCAAGCCGCCCAATAGGAGAGGATTATTATTGAAGTTCAAAGTCCTGTATTCAAAGATTCAAAGAAGTTTATTAAATATTAGAATTCTTGAATGTATTCTTTTTAAAATTTTAAATCTAAAGTCGTCAAACATTTTTAATAAGCCAAATCCTTTTGGATATTGGATATTTTTCTTAGTAATTATTTTTTCATTGGTATCTCAAATAATGAAATTTTATAATTTAAAATAAATTTTATAATCAAAATTGTACATAATAATAATAATATAATTTTTAGAACTTCAGCGTGCTCAGTAGTTTAACTTTAAGTTCAGTTTAAAATTTCATATGCAAATTACTTTTCTATTCATTGATTAAAATAATTATTTGGGATACTTACCCAGTTGGGCCTACGTCGTCTGCATAACAAGTACCATCGCCAGGTTTACAATCGTCGCAGACGTCGCCATGTTCTTTGCAATTCGATACGCTGAGGGAAACAACCCTGCCGTTCCTGGTGGCAGTGACCTTGTGCCACTCGCCATCTGAAACCGGCAACTCTGTCTTGATAGTGACGGTGGTTATCGCGCTTCTGGCACCGCCATATGAGAAGACCACCCGTCCGCCCATCAGCTCTAACACGATAAAATCCGAACGGCCACCCATTTGCGGCGCGTAATTGTACAACAACAGTGCGTCCGGTTTCGTGGTAGCGAACACGATGGTGATGTCGTTCGTGTTGGACTCCAACGTTGGGAATGCCATGTACGACAGTTCGTCAAAGCCGAAGCTTGAACGCTCGCAATGCCGACCGTAGCGACCCTCACTGCAGCTACATCGATATCTACGCACACAACATTTTTTTCTCAATTTCATACAAATCGTTCATATACAGTTATGGTATATATACAGGATTGGGTAAGTTAATATTTTATTTTCTAACTAAATTAAGTTAAAGTTAATGATTTATAAAATTAATCTAGTTACATTAAAAGATATATAAAAGAACTAATTTACACTTAAAAGTTTAAAATTAAATTAACTTAAGTTAAATTAAAAGTTAATTTTAAAAAGTATTATTTATATTAGAATTAGATTTAGAATAGAATTAGAATTAGATAGTAGAATTTTTAATTAGAGTATCATAATTTTTTAAAATTAAAATATTTTAGATAACAAAACAATAACAATCACAATATGTATCATCAAATAAATTTAATATTTTATTTGTAAATTAAGTTTATGAAATAACAAAGAAATATTGTTTTTTTTTTAATACAGGAATGCGTTTTTTTTTCTACATAGGTAAATTTTAACTTAGAAAAAAAGTTAATAAGTTAAAGTTTATGTGTTTTAAAAATAATTAATTAACGTTATAAGTTAACTCATTTAAAATTAACTAAGTTAAATTAAAAATCATTAATTTTACTAGTTAACTTTTAACTTTTTAATTAATTATTATCCAAGTTACTATCCTCTAGAATATAACACGTAGTGTCCATGTCCATGTCATCTAAAATAGTTAAAACATGAACTAACCCAGGTTTTTCTCCCACGCATAAGCCACCATATAAGCAAGGATTCGGTCGACAGGAATCGGTGACTGCTTCACAGTGATTTCCTCTGTAGCCCGCTCTACAAAGGCAGAAAAAGCTGAAGTTATCCGGGCTCTTTCTGCACGATCCGCCGTTTCTACATGGATTGCTGGCACACGCGTCGCCTCTCTCGAGCTCACACAGTTTCCCATCGCGATCGATAGGACAAGTACACTGGAAATCGTATCCCAAACGTCGGCATTGTCCTCCCTAGGAAAAAGATGAAAAAAAGAAATGTTTTAAGAAATTTCTGCTCTACATCAATTTCCAAGAAGTAAAAAATGATTCTGTGTAAAAAATAAATAATATTAGAAAAAAATAATATTCATTTTAGAAATTTTAGAATTTAAGAACATGCCTTATATTTTACTTAGTTTTCGTCAGTTTAATTCATTCATAAACAAAAATAAATATCTCATTAATTTAACTAACATTATAATAAATATATAATAATTAGAAATATAAATATTACTATATAAATATGATTATAATATAGTAGTACATACATTTTTTACATTTTATGTTTTCGTATGTTAAGCTTTGTTCTGTATCTCACTTGCGGAATATTTTCTTTCTTTGACAAATCACTCACCAACAGACAAGGATTCGGAGAGCATGGGTCTTGTCTTTTTTCGCACCTGTCGCCGGTAAAGCCATCCCGACATTTACAGACCATCTCATATAACATCCTAGGCGATGTCAGGATCAACGCCTGGCTGTCGGTGATCCTGGCGTCGTCGTATATGGCCAATCGATCGCTGCAGCTGCCCCCGTTTTCGCATGGCATGTGTTTACACGGTGAATAACCGATGGTGAACGAGCTATCTTCGAGCAGCGTTTGAATTTGATCTCGATTGCGCATCAGTAAATCGGTCACTTCGTACTTCGTGCGATACCCTGAGTATAAAATATTGCCAAAAATTATTGTATTATTGTATTTCCTAACATATAAACATATAGAAGGAGATATGCCGAAGCTGAATATAAATATTACAACTGTCTTTCAATTTATTTTTGAAATATGACACAATATTCAATATGAATATAAAAAAAACAATATAATTTAATACACATTTTCTTGTGATGTATTTTAGCTTACCTTGCGAAGATTTCACAGCTAGATGAACGTTCAGGTCCGATCCGTTTTCGCCAATACTGAAAATGATTAGTGTATCGCCGACGTCAATCTTCTCCTGCAGGAGATCTAGGAGAGCCCGGTAGTACTGACTGAGGAAATTATTCGCGGTCAATTTAACAATTTGCAGAGTCACACTATTCTCGACCGTTGCATTCGAGAAGATCAAGAACTCGACGGTGACCTTGGAGATTACGTCGGGGTGTCGTCCGTCGTTGCCGGAGACGCTCAATGAGTAACCGACTTCTGTACTCAGAATTACAAACAAATACAATTAAAAATCTCAATCAAAAAAACTATTCTGCATAATATAATTCTATGAAAAATAAGCTATTAATAATAAATATATTTAAATCTGTATCGAGGTAAAACATGATGAAAACCGTTGCCGAATGCATTTGTCGATAAATTAATATGTTTCTTTTTTTTTAAATAAAAAAATGTAGATTAGAAAAGAAAACTTTCTTAAAATTCGCAATTGATGAACGCAACTTGCCTGATGTAATCTTGTTGGTGTGCAGATCGCAGGCGGTGGGAATAGTCAGCACTCGCGAATTCGAACCTTGAAGTATTTTGCACGAGTAAGCTCCGGTAATGTCCGGATCGTTCGGGTGCACGTCGGCGATCTTCCCCAGCGGTGTCTTACCGTTGAACGAGTGTACGATTACGTGCACCGATCTCGGCGTGGACGGGCTGTCATTCTGATCGGTGACGATCACGACGATAGTGTGCTCGCTCTTCATTCGGGGTATACCCGAGTCCTCCACCTCAACCTGAAATGATACGCGAAAAAGTAAATTTTATTAAATTCATTTATATTTACTTTGTTTTAGGTTACACAAGTAACAATTTTAAAATGAAAATTTTTCAAATTTTCTCATTTTTGAAAATGTAGCATCTCTGAATAGATAAGATAAAGTGCATTGAAAAATTTGATGACAAATTAATTCAGGTTGTAAAAAAAAATCTATTTTCAAAATAAAATCGAATAATTTTTTTAATTTAATCGTCAAAGTTCTTTTTAAAACCTATTAGAAGTTATAGAATTCTTTGAATTTTATACTAACTAGATAGAAATTCTAAAAATGCGATATTAACTTTTCAAAGATGGTAAAAAATCGTTTATCCGTGGATTATCCGTTTCACTGTTTTACAACTCCGTTGTTATCTCCTTCATTGTTCATCATCAAAAGAAGTAATAATTCGATAAAAATTAATTTCATTACGTTGCATTATATGCAATTAAAATACGAACCACGAGATTTAGCTGCGGAATTGTTTCTCTATCGAGACTCCTAGTGGTTCTCAGTATACCCGAATGCTTGTCCAAAATGACCATATCGCTCTGCCTTCCTCCAATTAATCTGTACGTGAACGGCGCGCCGTTGGGTGGCAGATCGGGATCGGTCGCGCTCAGAGTCATAATGCTGGTACCCGCCGGTTCGTTCTCGCTGACGTAGCCAATTACTTCCGGTGGATCGAAAACCGGGCCATTGTCGTTCACATCCAGTAAATCGATATGTACCATCGTAGTGCCGGTCTGCGGCGGCGAACCGGTGTCGATTGCACCGATCGTCAGATCATACACAGGCACGGTCTCGCGATCTAGCTGCTTCGCAGTCTCAATATCGCCGGTCTGCGGATCGACCTTGAAGGCCTGACCGAGATTGCCGCCGATGATGGAGTACGAGAACTGATTGTTCTGCGGCTTGATGTCCTTGTCGATCGCGCGGACCATAAGTACGCGGGTGCCGTGAGCGGCACCCTCCGACACGCTGGCGTCGTAAGAGCTTTGCAGGAACTCGGGTGGATCATTGCCGTCCTGGATGGAAACGATTACCTGCGCTTCGTCAGTGTCGTTGCCGCGTATACCGCCACCGTTCTTCGCCATCACCGTCAGCACTACGCGATTCTGCGTCTCGCGGTCCAGCCTGCGCGACACTCGAATGATGCCGGTATCCGAGCCGATCGAGAAGCCACGATCGTTGGAAGAACCTACGAAGAGGTAGTACACGCGACCATCCTCTCCCGAGTCCTGATCGGTCGCTTGGACCACGCCGACCGACGTGCCCACCTCGGCGCTCTCCGACACGTCCATGTGAAACACGGGTTGTATGAATTGGGGATAGTATTCATTCACGCCGGTGATGTGCACTATCACAGTCGTGAAGCCGATCATCTGCGAGTTCGAGTCCGGATTGGTCGCGACGATGTCGAGAGTGTATTCGTTCGCTTCTTCGTAATCGAAAGTGGCGTCTGACGTGATCTCACCGGTATTCCAACGTATGCGGAAGTGATCCTTGCCAGTTCCGCCCAAAATATCATATTGTATTACGGCATACTTTGGCGAATCGATGTCTCGAGCGACCACCTGGAATTGAACACGAAGAAACGTATTTATAAGGAACATACAAATCCAATTTTATACAATTATTAGAAATTATTAGAAAATATAAAAGTAAATGAGACAAAGAATTTAAATTCTAATTTGAAATTATTAGATAATTAGATATTTAGAAAATAGGATAAAAACTTTTTGAGCTAATAAATTTATAACAATATTCTTTATTTCAAGATTTAAATAATATTGCTCGCTAGCTAGTTGGCTGGAAAAAATAAAAAAAATGCCTAAAAAAGATAAATCCAAATTCCAGGACAAACGTACCTTGTAAACAAAACTATCGGGCGGTGAATTTTCTGGTAAATACGCTTCATAAACCGTTTGATTAAAGGTCGGAGGATTATCGTTGATATCAGAGACATTGACAGTCAAGGTAGCTACTGCTTGCTTCGACTCGAATCCTAGATCCGTGGCAGTAATGTTTAGCCGGTATTCTTGCACTAGATCGTAATCGAGAGGCTCGAGAATAGTAACCGCGCCAGTGATGGAGTGCACGAAAAATTCATTTCTCTCGTTACCAGCCGAGATTCTGTAGCGGACCATGCCATTGGGCCCGCTGTCCCCGTCCACGGCGTTCACCGTCAAGATCGTGGTGTTAACCGGCTCGTTCTCCGGTACTCTGACTTGATAACTAACGGCGGCAAAAGTGGGTGCATGTCGGTTTTCACCGGAGACCACGAGAGTCAGAGCGATCTCGTCCTTCTGCGGCGGCACGCCTTTATCGGTGGCGCGCGCTTTCAGCAGGAATACAGCACCGACGGGGATACCATTGAGGCTCTTGCGCACGTAAACCCAACCGGATCGCTCTTCGATGGCAAACAAATCGCTAGTGTTATTCAGATTTTCCAGAGAATAACTGACCTCCGCGTTCACGCCGAAATCGGCGTCGTCGCGGGCGACCAGCTGGATGATTCGCTTGCCTACTCCATAATTCTCCGGCACAGGCGACAAGTAGGATCTCTGCTCAAAGCGAGGCGCGTTGTTGTTGGCATCTACTACGCTCACGTGCACCACTGTTCTCGAGGACAGTGGGGGCTTGCCGTTATCGGTAGCGACCACTGTCAGCGAATACAGATTCTCCGGCGAGGATGGCCGATGCGTATGTTTGTAGCGCATGGTACGTTTGCTGAAGACGTCACCGGTCGCCGGGTCGATGGTAAAAAGATCGGATGGTTGCAACAGACTGTAAGATATAACCGAGTTCGGTCCCTGTTTGTCACGGTCAGTAGCCGTAACCGTGCCGACATGCGTCACCCGCGGCTGAAGCTCGGGGAAATGGAAATAATAGGTGTCCTCATCGAACTCAGGCGCATTGTCATTCTGATCCTGAATAGTGATCGTTAGGGCGGTCTCTGCTCGCCATGCACGATCCGCTGCTACAACCTAAAACAAAATAACAGACAATAAATCTCATTATCTCTTTAATACTTTCTCTAAATTTTCGCATAAGATTCAAAGAAATCTATCTTACAAACGCGATTTCTTCACTTCTACATATATTTAGTATTAGTACAGGGTCTTTATTAATATTTTTTTGAAAAGTAAATATCCTACCTTCAATAAATACTCGTCCTGCTCCTCTCTGTCGAGTTGCCCGGCCACAGTCACGTTTCCGCTTAAAGCATCGATGGAAAATTTCTTCCCTGGATTGTCGGTGAAGCTGTAGCTGACATTTGCATTTTGACCAATGTCCAAATCGCTGCTGGTGATGCGTATAACAAACGTGCCAATTTCTGCGTTCTCTGTTACATTGACGCTGAACAATCGCGTGAAGTGTGGCGGATTGTCGTTCTTGTCCAGAACAGTAATTAACACGGTGGCGGTTCCCGTTAATCGAGGGTGACCTTGATCTCTGGCCTCCACGATCAGCTCGTAAGATGCAATCTGAAGAAATCCCGACATAAATTTCATTAAATAATAGCATTATCACATATTATTATTATAACATATGTTAAGGTCTCCAGATGGATTAGTTTTTAAAATAATTATTATTGTTTATTTATCATAATGTCGTAATCAATTAATTATAATTATTTGCAATATTCGTACCTCTTCACGATCTAATTTGGTATTGGTCTCGATTTGGCCAGTGGTACTATCGATGATGAATGATTCGGAAAAATCATCGATCAGATAATAAGTGACTTTGCCGTTCTCGTCAGAATCACGATCCTTCGCGGACACTTTGCAGACAAACAGCGGCGGATACTCTTCCTCCATCACGGTCGCGTTGTAAATGGCCGCCTCCATGACCGGTGCGTTATCGTTGGCGTCCGTGACGTTCACCAGAAGTTGGAGAACGCTACGCAGCGCGGGAGTGTCCGAATCACGAACCTCAATCCAGGCTTCGTAATGTGGAGCCGTCTCGTAATCGAAACCAGAGGCGACTATGACCTGAAAAAAGAATTGTAATAATAAAATAACATGCAAAATACTAAAAGATGATAAACATTTTCGAAACAGTTCTGAAATGACAGAGATAATACTGAAATGTCCAATCCTTACCTCTCCGGTGTGAGGATCAATTCTTAAAGCGTCCCCCACGTTTCCACCAGCTATGCCGTAGACCAGATTGCTGGCCGGTCCACTCTTCGGCGTAGTAGCACTGAGCTTAGTGATTACCCTGCCCTCAGACACGTCTTCGGATAATGTAAATTTCGTGCTGACACTCGAGCGGAAGCTAGGAAACAACTGTCGCTCCCACAAGTGGATCATCAGATCAGCGGTGACATGCTGGGGCTCGATGCCGCAGTCCGACGCCTGTATCTGCAGTTGATAGGTGGTTTGATCGCCGATCAACTCCTCGGCGGCGCGAATTACCCCGTTGTTGAGATCGATGGTGAATCGGTTGGCGTCCTTGCCGTGCAACCGGTAAACGATCCGGGAGTTCTCGCCATCGTCGTCGTCGCTCGCTTTCGCGCCGAACACAAAGTCACCTTTAAAACATAAAAGAAACTCGACGTCAGCACTCGGATCCGTGGCTAGTTAATTAGCGGAATGAAAACCACTCTACGGTTCTCCCCTCTTCATTGGCAATTAACGCGTCTAATTAATGCGCTTGGTATTGCCGCCGATCTCATTACCGAGTTTAGTCGCGCTCGGAACGTAGGCCGTGTATCGAGGACTGGAAAAGTGGGGTGCGTTGTCGTTCACGTCCGTCACGTAGATCGTCAGATTGACGGCGGAGGCACGAGGCTCCGTTGGGCTCGAGTCCTTGGCCACCAGAGTCAAATAGTAAACGGCGGTCTGTTCGCGGTCCAGCGGCATCGTGGTGAACACTTCGCCCGTGTCGGGATCTGCAGTGAACCGCTCCGCTTTGTCTCCAAGTAGGCTGTAGCTATTTTGAAAAAGTTATAAAAACTATTTGAACAAAATATATTATCGATAAAGTAATTTTTTTTTTTTTTAGATTTGAGTCGCGCACGCACGCATCATATACTTCCTAAGATGGAAATATACTTTCAACCGTAATTATGTAACATCGGCGAACAGGGCGCCTTACCTTATTTTCGCATTGAGTCCTTCATCCTTATCCGTAGCGTGCGGCTTGGTAACCCAAGTTCCGGCGGGCATGTTCTCCACCACGGTGGCCTTGTAGTCCTGCCTGGCAAACTCGGGGATGTGATCGTTCACGTCGAGGACGACGATCCTGACGATGCCCGATCCGGTAAGAGGCGGCGAGCCTATGCAGAAAAACGCGATGCGAAACTTCAGTCATGTTGTCGTCGGGCGGCCATAAAGACAACCACCGTCGCACCGATGCATCGTGCTGTCGTTTCTAGCTCGGCTTTTTTCATTTTTTCGTTTTTTATTCTTTTTTTTTGCGCTTTTATTGCTATCTCGCGAACCGTAACGCCGCGCGAGCGTAGTTGGGTCAGTGGTGCGATTATTCCGCTAAATTTACGGCCCGCCTCTCGCGGCTCGTTTATGACGGTTTAAATCGGTCCAAACGGAAGGTAAACCGGGGCCATAATTTTAACAGAATATTATTGCGGAGCCTGCGTCTGCCGTAAAGTGATTTAGAATTTGCCCATGCCCACTGCGGAATATACTTACCATTGTACGGGCATACACCGACGAATTGTCACTTCTGCAGTCTTTTTTTTTGTCGATTTTTACGAATTTTTAATCGGAATAAAAATAAAGTGTGCAAATTGATAAAGGAAACATAGAAAAACTTACTGATATCGTTTATTTTATCACATTAGCATTTATTTTTTAAATGCATCTAGATATATAGTTGCTTAAAACTTGCATTCATTGTTAATTTGCTTTAATCATCTTCAAATAATAAAAAAATATTATAAATTGAAGATTTAAAGGTTTCTTGATATTTTTATACCGAATAAAAATCGTCTTACTATTTTTCGAAGTATTCCTTAAATAATTTCACATATTTGGTAAGAAAGATCCTCGATTGGATTAAGTACTTTCTACGGTAGATTTAAAGTAATTTAATCGTGTGGAAAAGCGACGATTTTCTGGATCGCGGAAGTGCGCGTAACGGCTAAATAATGGCCGGCAAACGCAAGTAATTTAGATATGACGCACACGTTTCTAGCGGTGGCCATTGTGCTACCCGCTTATGATTTACGGATTGGGGTACCCGGAGTAACGACGCGTTAGTGCGCGCGGAAAAGTCTCGCCGCGGCTTAATTGCGCCGCCTAAAACGCATCATTACTCTCCAGGAGGAGAAGAGAGTAGGGGACCGATTTCTCTGATTGCATATACCAGGTATATACGCGGCACATGTATATATATATATATATATGGTAAGCGTTGGCGTAGCCCAGGGCCACGCGCCTGCACGGACATACACCGTTCAATCACGCGGTGAGTTCCCGTCGAGGGATAAGAGAAAGGAAGAAAGAGAGGAAGAGGAAGAGAGAGAGAGAGAGAGAGAGAGAGAGAAGAGAAGAGAGAGAGAGAGAGAGAAGCGAGAG